GAGTTTTCAGGTGATCAAGGAATCAATGAGTTGAGTTGGGTTTATTTTTTATTTTTATTTATACACGGAACCCACAAAAACCCGAAACAGTTCGCAGACTGGTTTCAATCAGGGCCGTGTTGATGAAATGCAACAAAATCATGACATATAAACATAAGTAATATATAACACTGACAGATTACAACCATAATGCAACAATATAGTAGTAGTAGTAGTAGTAGTAGTAGTAGTAATAGAAGTAATAGTAATAGTATTAGTAGTAGTAGTAGTAGTAGTAGTAGTAGAAGTAGTACTGGTAGTAAAAGTAGAAATAAGAGTTGTAGAAGCAGTTGTTATTGGAGTAGAAGTAACGTAATAGTAGTAGTTGTAGTGGTAGTAGCAGTGGTAGTAGTAGTAGTAGATGTAATGTTAGTAGTAGTAGAAGAAGTATATATATGATAGAGGTAGTTGTAGTATTTGTATTAGTATTAGTAGTAGTAGTAGTAGTACTAGTAGTAGTAGTAGTAGTAGTAGTAGTAGTAGTAATAGTGGTGGTAGTAGTAGTAGTAGTAATAGTAGTAGAAGTAGTAGTAGCAGTGGCAGTAGTAGTAGTATTAGTAGTAGTAGTAGTAGTAGCAGTAGTAGTAGTAGTAGTAGTAGTAGTGCTGGTATTAGTAGTAGTAGTAGTAGTAGTAGTAGTAGTAGTTGGAGTAGTAGCATTAGTAGTATTAGTAGTAGTATTTGTAGTGTTAGTAGTAGTAGTACATGTACCGTACTCACATTTCACCGCTAAAATGAAGCATTAAGGGGATCGTTTAACAATGTTAGATATGAGATGCACGGCCCTACGTGTTATCAGTGTCTGTGATATGGTGTTATATTGAAGCCCTAAACAAAATTGCGCTTCAAAATAATCAAGATGTGCCTCAATAAAGTAAAAACCTTTAAATGACCGATTTTACCACAGTCGTTTTCCCAAATAGACTGTTGGGTTAGTAAAGCCGTTTGGCAAACATCAATCATAAATGTCTTGATAATCAGACAGACGATCGGCTTGTAAAAGTCACGGGGTTCCTGACTGACCTAAAGGTTTATAATTATCATTTCAGCATGAGCTAAATCAAGGATCTAAGACAAAGTTACCGGATGTAAATAATTGTGTTTAGCTGGCAGTCAGACACTGTACAGATACTGTAGTAGTGTAGTGCAGTTACTCCCGCTCGGCGTAAATTGCACGGCGTAAGCGCCGTGACACCGTGGGAGTTCCCCGCTGGAGGCATTTGAAATCCCGAACGATCGCTGAATTTTGCAAGTCTGGGGGGGGGTGGGGGGCGGTAAAAAAATTGTTCACTTTTTTCTTAGGGAAAAGGTGAAATATTTGTGATGTCAGCAATACAAAAAATGAACTATTCGGCAGGAAACATCTTTTCTAGTAAAACTATTCGTTTTCTTGTTGTGTACATTCCTAATGCAACATTCTTACGAGTATGGATATAAATAGATTTGTATTATCAACAAAAAATACTTTGTGAAAGACAGTAAACGAATTGATAATTTGTCCGTCTCCCACACCCCATGGAGTACGGCAACACTCTTTCAAAGACTTATTATCTGAGCTCTTCTACACAATAACTCGTAGCAAAAATATGTGGAACCACCTTGACCTAATTTTGAAAACTATATTGCATTTGTTTAAAGCAGGATCTACTTGACTGAATACAGGTCAAATGAAAAGGGAAACAAAAGTGAAATGGAAATATGCTTTGGCCTGCAAATGTCAGGTTATAAAACGAAAATTTACTGATAGTCGCGTTAACATGAACAATGCGAGCTTTTGTATAAATAAACTCAGCTTCTAAATAAACTCAGCTTCTAGTAAACTTCTAGTAAACTGTGTATCAAGGACGAATTGAAAATAGATGTCTTCTCTCATCTGTTGACAGTTAGCCAATAACACATTTTGGCAATGGAATTAGATGTTCACATGTACATTTTCAAAATATATCCATGGATGTCGAAAACCGTCATTGAAGATGATAGCACACGCGGTGGTGCCGTAGCAAAGTGGTTCATTCACTTGACTCTAAGCCAAATAGATTATTTAAAACCCAGCCCTACTCTACAGGTCTCTCAACCATCGATGTCCACAGTATCTCAATACCATAAAACATATTCTCTGGCTAAAAATCATTAAATTTGCAATAACTTAAGTAATTATGTGTGCGACCGTGATAAATTTGGTACCAGACACAACAAAGCTCAACAAGCTTCTTATTTTTTAGTGATACGCCAAACACACGCATACTTTTTAAGGCCGCCATCCTAGTCAAGCATCCCTTTTGATTGCGGTCTCCTGCACCTTTTCCACAGATAGTTCGAATGATAATTTGACATTTTGATAAATGTGTCATATAAATATCAAGTTCGTTATTATATGTATATAATATGTAAATAACATTTTGACATAAAGTTATTCTTTGTAAATTGTGTATTATACATTACGTTTATCTGTTCTTTGTTATACATTCAATGTATTTGGGAAAAATGAAGAAATCAAATCAAATCAAGTATTTTTGCCAGTTCACGGACATTCTGTAGTCCCATTCATTTTGTTAGACACTAGTTGATTGACTGGTTCACTGGTCTTTGTTTGAAGTGTTATCTCGTTATTTAAGTGACTCAAACATATGGAGCAATGTGTGCAGGTTTTATAACTCCTTGGCGTAATATCAAATATCACTTTTATAGATTTGTACTAGACATGATAGATATACAGACTACTTGAATAGATTTGTTTTCATTTTCTTTCTACACCTGGTTAATCTAGTGTAAATATGTGGTCCATTCCAAAATTTAGAGCCAACGAAAGACAAAGAAAATGGAAAAAATTCTAAATTTTGAAAGACGTTTTGACCCGAATTCTACTCTCTTTTTCGGCTTTTGTTCGAAATTGGGTTATACAAATTAAGCTGGTCTGAGGTGTAAGTTTTTCTTTGTTAAACGAGATCTTAGACCCAGGGTTGGGTTAAAAGGAATTAGTAGAGCATGGACGAAAAGTCAAATTTTAAACCTAAGCCGTATACTTTAATCTACTATAAGTAGAGTTTAATAAAACCCAGTATTACCGTCATGAACGCTCTCGTTTGAATGTGTATACAATGTACGTCTAAAATGTACAAATATTGAACTGAAAGTGAAAAAATGTAGGCACATTATAACTTGAATTGACTCTAATTTAAACTTTAAATTGTAATAATTTAATGGAAAAAATGTTCCAAGGTCAAGCTTGTACTATATTCTGAGGATTTACTTAGCTATTTGATTTTTTTTTTAATACATAAATACGAAACTAAAAAAAAAGAAAAACTGAATCTAATAAAGTGGCCTCCAGTCGTATTCACTTGGATTGCATGAATGGCATTCAAGGTCATTTTATCTCAAGTACGTGAGCTTTTGTTGGAGTAAAAGCAAAATATATCCCATAGCTCTACTTTCGTTTTCGTTTCGATGCTGCGCCGAATAATAGGGAATATCTTTTTTTATAAAGCTAACACCCGTGAGAGAGGCGCATATATTAAAGGCGATTTGTTTGAACACAAGTTGAGGATTCCTCGTAGACTGGAGTCACTGGACTTTAGTTTTTAGACCAGAGCAGGGGAGAGCAGTGGGACGTATCTTGTGATTTCAGATTTATCTACGAGTAAGTCGATTATCCTACCTTTTTTTTCGCCGTTAAATTCGAGTAATCAGTGGTAGTGGAATCAAAGTCGCAAAACGGATAGGCATACCAAACAGGCATATGTTCGGACAGAAAAGGGGATAGAGTCCAAGATGATGGGCAAAGTGCTTTATTTAGGAGAGGCATTTATTCTTGTTGTACAGGTGTCGTGGTATAGTGGTTCATCATCTTGACTCCCAATCCTATAATTGAGGGTTCGAATCTTAGCTAATAAAGGTACTCACGTCTTTTGACAAAACACTAATCCACATTTGCCACTTTCCACTCAGGTTTTTAAAGGGTTCCTGGCAGGATTTATACCTTGGTTGCACTGATTACGGCTGTCTGAGTTAAACCTAGAGTGATAATATGCAAACTTTTTTGGAAGCGCACAGGGACGTTTAAATGGGGTATTTTCCAAAACTATGTTAGCTGGCAGCGAATCTATAGATTTACTGCACAATATATATTTCGTTTTCTGGAGATTCAATGAACATTAATTTTGTTCGCTCTAATCCACAATAAAATATTCCACATTTCACTATCAATAATTCAACTTCAAGGAGAAAAAATTGTGTCATCAGCAAAAAGTACGAAAGACAAAATATTAGATTATATACCAAAGTCATTAATATATAAAAAATAAATAAGAGTGGGTCTATTAAGCTACTTTGTGGAACGCCACAATTTATGTTACGAAGTTCTGAATAGCTGTAATTAAAAATACAAACTGCTTTTATCTGAAAAATAGAGAGGATTTTTTTATGTTGAGAACCGGGGTAAAATGCAATAAATTATTGAAAAATTATTGAATTTTCTGTGTTTTTTTTTTATTTATGGAAACTGCCCCCTACCCTAGCCCCCGCTGCGTACAGTCATGGTTCAGTGACAAAGCAATGGCCATGTAACTGTGAGGCCCCAGGATCAAAACCGTGTCGATGTGCAATATTAGTGCCCTTTTGTAGGGCATTAATCCTTATTTCTGTCATTTATGACTTAAGGGCGTAGGTCCCCTATTTGATAGGCATAGAAGCATACACATGCTTTAGCAGTCACGCAAAATACACATGTGCAACTAATTATTCAATAAAATCTGAGAATGTATACATGTCATGTTCCTTATAAGAAGTGAGTAACGCTCGAATTCCGGCTGCATACAAGGGGGAAATCATTAATCATGGTGTTTATGAATATATATATATATATATATATTTTCAAAATTTTCAACCATAGCAACTGTAAACATGTATATATATATATATATATATATATATATATATATATATATATTTAACTTTCAGTTTAGTTATCTGCATTATACAATATGACTACTGCGATGGTGATATTGCTGATGTTTGGCTGGGGAGCTGCTGCCACTAAGCCGATTCATCCAAATGTGCAGTTCCTTGGAACCGGTTACAACATTTTAGAGGGTAACCCTGGAGGACAGGACTTGAACGAAGGAGGTCTCGACCCAGGCTTGAAGGTGACTCGACAAGTCTTCAGCCTTTCCTATGACGAAGAAAAGCTCACAGATGACAACGCATACTCTGTCCCAGACGAAATCATCTATACCAAACGGGATGGTTCGTCCGAAGGCTGCACTGTGTCTTCCGTCTATGGAAGCAGGAGTTACCAGGAGGAGTTGAAAATTCAGATTGAAGTTGAAGGTATATTCATTACGGGGAAAGGCGGAGGGGGATCTCCTAGCAAATCCCAAACTGTCATACCTTAGCTACACAATTGAAAAATGTGCTTTAATTTATAACTCGAATGCGGTCATGTTTCCCTACATGCGTTCTAGTGTCTAGTTACTATTTAATTTTATTTTATTTAAAGGGATAATTGAGGGAGTTGTATTCAACGTGCAATTATTGCATACCAATGAACTATCGTTTTGCCTGTAGAAATAATGCTCTAGTTATGTACAGTGTCGTTGCAATTCTCGCTCATTTCAGAAGATGTTGCACGAAGCTATATCAACTGTCTTATCTTGGTTTGCGACCGAAATATTTATTATTTTCTTTCTGCAGGTGGGTTTGAAAAAGGCCTCGCAGGTTTTGAATTCGGAGCAAGTGCGGGTAAGGTCCCTGTGGAATACACGTTTTTTACAGGCTCGGGAATTTTAATATTTGTAAGTCATCATCGAGTCAAGCTATTGATCACGTGGCCATCTGCTGAGCAAAGCATGTTTGTTGATCATCAAAATCATATGATAAAACATATATATATTATTACACAGTTTAATCATTTGGGAGCAAAAACAGCAGCGCTAAACTTTTTTGGGATCGTGTTTGGTTTATAAATAATGTCAGCATATAAAAAGCGGCACAGATAGAAAATAACTGTTAACGTGCACACCAGTAAAGACGTAAAGACTAATGGGACATCTTTTCATAAGGAAGTCTTTATATGGCTTTATTCAGTAGTTTTCGAAGAGTTGATGTATACATTTTTCAGGCGCCGTTATACAGGGGCGCGTTTGGTGCGTGCAAGCATTCAATTAGTTTTCTTTTAAAGCCCGACATTTAAAAATATATTCACATTTTTGCTAGTGCAAAATGTGTGGGGTGCGTGTGTGTGTTTTTGTGTGATGAGAAAGTGGTATGGGATGCGCTTTAATAGTAGGTGTAAATGCGAATGTATTCAAATGATGTAAATGTGTTACATTGCTATATTGAAAGTGACTCTAACTTTGCCCCTTTTTAAACGAATTGTATTGCTGTGCTTGACATTAATTGCTCGTTCCCTTTATTTTTAAGAACTATTATAACAAAATTAGCTATCTTAAGGGGCCTATAACTGACAAGCGTTGTTTTCACCTAGGCCCCTTCATATTTCATTCTTCTTTTGTTAGTTCAGTATTTTGATATAATGCATCCGAACAAATTGATATGAGGTACACATTTTCCGTTTTGTCTCTGTTAATAGAGTCCATGTATATCTGTACCATCCAAGTTGTACAATCACTGCAAGCTATTAAATATATGTGGAATAAGGAACAATCAATACTGAAACTGAAATTAAAATACTATAGTATTTACATCCCATTATACTTTGTTCAAAGCGTTCCCTGATAACTACTATCGCTCCCTGTTTTTTATAGCATACAGGACCATATCTGACAAGTTGGAGGTAGAGGAAAAACTCTTCGCTACGTACAGGACTCTTGAAATATTTGGGGAAGGGAGGATCCTGTCTGCATCAGAGGATGTTTCTTTTAGTGATGAGTTTGCTTCGCAACTTTGCGCATTACCAGAAATGTATCCTGGTCATGAAACGACTTATAACCTATTTTTGGATGATTGGGGCACGGTAAGAGCAACACACATGTACTTATGTTATGAATTGAATCAATATCCTAAATACGTTAAGTAGATTATTTTGTTTGAAATGCTCTCCAACTGCATTTTTCAAATTTGTGTTCTCACAAATTTATCAGTTTCAAGTTTTTAGATAGGCCTACTTTACATTTCCTAAATCTAAATCAATATGGTTTTAGAAAAGGACATTCAGCTGACCAAGCTTTAGTACAATTATATAATAAAATAACGAATGATATGGCCAACAAAGAACATGTAATAGGAGTATTTATGGATTTATCAAAAGTCTTTGATACACTTGACCACCAAATTGTATTTAAAAAACCTTACTGTTATGGAATTCGTGGAGTTCCACTGTCATGATTTGAGAGCTATTTATCTAACAGGAAAAAAAGTAATGCATAATGAAGTTTCGTCTAGTTTCCTCCTTACTAAATGTGGAGTTCCGCAAGGACCATTTTAGGCCCTTTGCTTTTTCTATTATAAAGTGCGTCCCAGTGCTTCCCAGAAAAAACGAAACTGAGAATTATCGATGTTTTATCATAACTTAGTCACATCTGTAATTAATAAATGATACATATTTGGAAAGCTTCGATCCTCCTCTTTCATTTTATTCAACTCATCAACTCATATGATGCATATTTCACGCATGAGTGATTAAAATGAATTTGAAGAATGAAAATCAAAAATTCGTTTTCAATGGCTGCCTGTCGTGGCAACAATCAGAATTGACAAAAGACTTAACCCTGTTTCGTCGACAATCAGCCATGCATGAAGTCTTTCGTCTACGGCTGATTGTCGACAAAACGGAGTTCAGTCTTTTTTCAGTTCTGGTTGTTGCTACGGCAGGTGGCCAGTTAAAACGAACTTTTAAAATCAAATTATGTAAATGCAAGCATCACTTTAAACAAACAGAACTTTGTTATCTAAGCTTTACAAATATGTGTTATTTATTAATTATAATTGTGATTAAGTTATGATAAAGCATCGATATTTCTCGATTTCGTTTTTTCTTGGACGCACTGTATAAGAACTAACTATTAAACTTTAAAAGCACCCACACCTATATTTTTCACATTTTAAACAATTTAATGATTTATTAATCCATAACAGCATGTCGTCACGCAGGCAACATTTGGAACGGCTACACAGACTTTCCTACAATATCAGCAGTCATCTATTGTGTACATGCAGGCGAGAGAGGTATTTCATAACTTTCGAGTTTTATACATGTATTTTGTTTCCCATACTTTGATTATATATACAAATACTTGAATGAGCTGAAAACGAATAAAACAGAATACCTCGGAGTTGCCTAAATATTGATATATTCTTGAGCTTGCATTATCCTGATTTATAGCGATTACAAATTTCATTACTGAAAAAGTATCATGAAACATAATGCAGCAGTGGCGAACAGCTCAAATTTTGCCTGCAGGGGCTTACCAGAATTTCCCCACAAGCAAATATCCTTTATTGGTATATTGTTCATGCAAACAAGGCGAGGGAAGAGAATATGTGAGAGAAGATGAAAATTCCAATCTGCATTTACAGCCGTATATGTGGAGGTAACAGTTCCCGGAATATGGGTGGGGAGGGGGTAGGCTTCTGCCCTCTAGCACCTCATCCCCGCTACATATGCCAATGTAATGCGAAGTTCGCCGAAAGCACATCGGAAGTTGTGACTAGTGAAAACAAAGAAAAAGGACGGGAGCACCTCAAAAGGGTAGTGCTAACATGTTTTGTATATGAGTAAAGGATATAGTATCAAAAATCCCCTTCGGATTGATTAAATTGTAAAATGCCATCATTTTCTTTCTTGCAGATAGGCGCAAGTGCTTCAATTGGAGGAGCCTACAAAGGCTTCAGTGGTTCTCTATCAATCACAGGATCGTATGACGTCAATTTCAGAGAGGTTGAGGCAGCATTTGATGGAGAAAAATACTCAACTACACGAGGATCTTTGGAACAGAATGGTAAAGAATGTATTATATTGAGGCTTATTTGCTCTTGACGCACTAAACAGCTGAGTGATTTGTAAAAATAAGTATGTTTTTTTATTGTATTATATTCAAATGTATGTTCTCAATATCAATATGCTTTTTGAATTTTCAAATAAATTCAATCGGGAAGTCTGTTTAGTTTGAGTTTACAATTTTGTTTTCTTACACTAGCTAATTCGTTTCTCCAGCTCTTTCGTTAAACGATCAAAGTGACCTCTATATGCAAATCGTTATGACTCGATCAACAGGACCTACGCTTTTGCCGTTTAATGTGTTCGCAATGTGAACACGAAAACTTACAAAATCTGGACTGGTAATACTACTATAAAAAGATTCCTTCTTCAATTTTAAGTTTGTAATGGTCCTTTGACAAGACATTAATCCACATTTGCCACCTTCGACTCAGGTGTTAATGGGTACCTGGCGATTGCTGGGATAATACTAATTGCATGACCCGCAGGAAGAACTGCTCTGGAGTTAATGAGGCTTCCCTGGTTAAACAAAATTATTATTATATCCCCACTTTCCATTCGTTTAGTACACAAACATTGTATTGTGAACGAGACTTTTCAATTATAGGTGATTGGTTGTATTTTTGCAAAATGTATTTCATATTCCCTTTTTGGTATCTCTTAATATCAAAATGGTTTTTAATTCCTTTCTTCTGCTTTGTTTTACTTCCCTACGTTTCTGCTGTCACAGAACCGATCAAATATCATTTGGTTGGAATGGATCAATTACTGAACAAAGGGCACGTCATACCAAACCAAGTAACGTGTCCCCCCATTAACACTTTGGAGGAAAGTCTACAACTGGCGATGAAAGGGTATCCCGAGTACAAAGGAATAAGTATCAGTTCAGGTTGGTTCTCTTTGCATGCTGTATTAAAGGCAAAGTACCATTTACCTAATCCCAGAGGCGGCACTCCCGGGGGGCAGGGGGGCACAGTGCCCTCCCACCTTTTCAAGTACCCTAAAAGTGCCCCTTTCTACATAGGAAAAGTGCCCCTTTTACATTAACAAGTGCCCCTTTTTACATAGGAAAAGTGCCCCTTTTACTTTGACAAGTGCCCCTATTCATTTTTAAGAGTGCCTCTTCGCCTTTTAATAACTACCCCATTTTATTTTGGATAAGCGCACCTTATATTTTTACATGTGCCCCCTTTTATTTTAAATAAGTGCCCTCATTTAAAAAAGAGCCCCTTTCCCTTCTCATAAATGCCCCTTTTCATCTATGAAAATGTTTTCTTTTCATTCTCATAAGTGCCCCTTTTCATCTTTTGTAAATAACCCTATTCAATTTTGAGAGATACTCGTTTTACTTTGACAAGTACCCCTTCCCCTCCTGATAAGTGCTCTTTTCATCTCTTATAAATGCCCCTTTTATTTTGACACATCTCTCTTTTCCTTCCTAATAAGTGCTCGTTTTCCTTACAAGTGCCCCTCCCCCTTTTCATAATTACCCCCTTTCGTCTTTGATAAGTGCCCCGTTTATTTTAACATGTCCCTCTTTTTCTTCTTAATAAGAGCCACTTCCCCTTCTCATTACCCTTTTAACAATGATATGTGCCCAATTTTCTTTCTAATAAAGAATCTATCCCTTTTTAATGAATGCCCCTTTTCACTTCTTATAAATGCCCGCTATCAAAATCTGATGGGTGCCTCTTTTACGTCGACAAATGCCCATCTCCTTTTCATTCCTGATGCATGCCTCTTGTTTTAGGTGCAAGAAGTGCCCCATTTTCACCTCTCATATAATTAGCCTTTGTACTTTGACACGTGCTCCTTTTCTTTTCTAATAAGTGTCTTAACCCTTTCGATAAGTGTCCCCTTTTCCTCCCATCATTAAGCGTGCCCCTAATTTCAAGCGACTGAAAGCAATTTCTCCCAAAGTTCGTCCGCTACGCTCGCTCGTAGTTATAATTATGTAACTTATGAAAGATCTTTTCAGTCTTCCGTTATGAGAATGTGCTTATAACCCCATCAGGATTGGGTTTTTCTTCTTTATAAGATGTAATTTTTCGCACTGCGACCTCACAAATCTTATAAATTTTCCTCGCTCGCAAATGAATTGTTAGACCATCACATCCAACTGAAAGTTTGATACTTAAGCAATATCTTATTTGATGTATAAAGAGAAACAAATATTGAAATCATCCCCCATAATGTAATCACAATATAGGGGTATATACCAATGTCTAAAAAAATGTATATTTTCCCTTTGAGATTTCCCTTTGAAGGTGCCCTTTTTTGTTAGTGCCCCCCCCCCCCGCCCCACTTAGAAAGTCGCTCCGCCGCCTCTGCCTAATCCATTCATGTCCAGAATGATTAACATAGCATGGCATTCCTTATTTGGTTGTGTTATTTGGTTGTGTCCAGGCTGCGCGTCTCCCTTCTGATTTCGATTTCCTTCTTTTACTTGCAATTTCATTCATGCCATTTGTTAGCCATGGTTTATGTATATAATGTATATTCTTACATGTAGAAAAGGTGTTTCGGAAGGTTTCTTCCGAGTGCCCTTACTACAAAATGTCTTTTACATTTTGCAAGAATCTTTTGTAAATGTTTTTGTTTTATAGAATTGGTAATATTTTTCTCTATTTCCTCATTCTATTATCGTTGTTGCGCTCATACTTCACCTCTTTACCTTTACATCTCGGCGTCAAGGGGGAAATGTGATGGCGCCAAAACGTCACAAACGTACTGACGCAGGACCTATGGGTAGGCATGGTAGGGGAAGGGTGTCGAAATCAAAGGTATGGTAGATTAGTTCTTCGAAGTAAGGAATTTGGAGAGGAGGGGGCCCCAACAAAGGTGATATGAAAGTTGATTTTTTTTTTTTTTTTTTTTTTCCCTTTCACAGGGTTCTTTATTTTCAAAACAAATTTCATCATATACAGAACATCCATATACCATATACAAATAATTAAAGAAATAATTTCCATACATAATTGCTTGACACAGATAATAATCATCACGGCCAAAAACTTTTGTGGCAGATAAAAACAAACATTTATGACAAAATTAGTACTTTAAATATATAATTTAAAAAAAATACCAAACATAAAATACATGATCATATTTATGTTAGCACATTTCCAACACTCTCAAAATATTTTCTAAAGTAAAACCATTTCTTGTTTAGTTTATTCTCTCTGAGATTTGTTTGGTATATATATTTTTCCATTTCATAATAACGTTTTACAGCTGATAAAATTATATCAAATGATGGTAGTTGATTTCGTAATTTAGCTAAAAATATTTCTTGTCTTACAACCATCAGAACACAGTTGAGTGCATTATTATTGCTACCGCAAAATCCAAACAATTTATTTTGATTTGTAAATTTGATCCTTTCACCCGTATTACGAAATATCCAGAACTCTAACTTCGACCATACTTCATTAGAATAGTTACAAAAGCAAAAAACATGTATGATAGTTTCATCATTGTTAATACAAAAAGTACACTTCTTGTCAGCCACTACACCAAATCTTAACAAACTGTCCTTCATATATAATATTCTATTTAAAATCTTGATTTGAAACCACCTCATGTTGATATCTATTGTTGACTGAAATGGAATTTGACAGTACGAACCCCAAAGTACATTCTGAAAATCTAAAAAACTTTTCCACTTTGTAAGGGCTTTACATTCTTTTACTTTGTTTTTTAGCAAAGACTGATAAATATGTGAACAACAAACATTTGTTTTCACCACAAGGTGCACGGCTTCGGGAATGATAGGTGCTAAGGCCTTACTAGGAGCTACATGTGTAGTCATTTTAAAACCTGACCGAATTGCATTACAAAGACCATACTACTGGAGGAAATTTGTTTGTATGTCAAATCTCCGTTGAAACTCAAAATATGAACAAAAAGAACCATCTATTTTTAGGATGTCATTCACAAAACGTATTCCTCGTAAATTCCAAGCCCCCCAAAATACCACTTTGTCATTTATTTTAATGTGGGGGTTATTCCAGAGAGGTTGACTTGCAATGTCGTCAATAAGAAGTTCGACCAAGTCTGACCAAGCGAAAAGGACCTCTTTCCAAAATGGATTTGGAGTCAAGTCTGCTAATTTTCTAAAATAATGTGAGCCCATATACAGGTAAAAAAAATAGGTTTGGGGCAAGAATGAATTGAACATGTGAAAAGTGAAACTTTCTATCTGAGAATTAGTTACAAATCTTCTAATCCATGATATTTTCAGGGATTTAGCATGAATGTAAATATTAATCATCTTAACCCCACCTTTATTATACAGTTGACACATTTGTTCTCTATTGATTTTATCAGGTTTGTTACCCCATATAAATGCATACAAAGAACGATTTATATCTTTCATAATTTGCGAATTCGGTTCTGGAAGTGAAAGCAACAAATAGTTCAATTTTGGCACCAACAAAGATTTGACTACAGTTATTCTTCCGAGGACAGTTAAGAGTCGTTTGGACCATGAAATAATTTGGCGTTTTATATCTTTAATTTTTTCAGTATAATTATGATTTACCATCTCTACTAAGTTAACCGAAAAATCTATTCCTAAGTATCTCGAATAACCTTCTGATACCCAATTTAGTTTGTGCTCTGGCATTAGCTGTTTTTTGCAGGCTCTATTTTTCCCAATCCATATCACATGAGTTTTTGTAATATTGATCTTTAGGTTTGACATTTCTTCAAAATCACCCAATATTTTCAATGAGCTCTGTAAATCTTCTTTTGTACCGTTAAGTGTCAAAATGGTGTCATCTGCGTATTGTAGTAGTTTACTATTTTTTCCCTGTAGATGCAAGCCAATTAAATCATTGGAATGTCTAATCAACATTCCTAATATTTCGCTAACAAGTAAAAACAGGTATGGAGATAATGGGTCTCCTTGACGACACCCTTGTCCTATAGTAAATCTTTCTGTGCAAAAACCATTTACTGTGACACAAGAAGAAGCATTTTGATAAAATAGATTAATCCATTTTTTCAGCGATGGCCCAAAATGAAAAAAGTCAAGGACATTGATTAGAAACTTGTGAGATATACAATCGAAGGCCTTTTCAAAATCAATCATCAACAACATGCCTGGAATATCATTAAGTTCGGTATATAATAATATATCATAAAGTAAACGAATGTTTTCTCCGATAAAACGGCCTTTCAAAAATCCTTTTTGATTTTCATGTATCAAGCGGGGCAATACTTGCTTTAATCGATTAGCTATGCACCCAGATGCTATTTTGTATATAACATTTAAAAGTGAAATAGGACGCTAATTCTTTAATAAATGTCGAGGCTTGTTTCCTTTAGGAATTAAAGTGATAATTCCTAATTTTTGTGACTGCGACAATTCTCCTGTAAAATAAGCAAAGTTCAAAGATCTGATAATGAACGTTTTAAGATATTGCCAAAAGAAACGAAAAATTCAACGGTGAATCCATCTTGCCCAGGGGATTTATTATTTTTCATACTTTTTAGCACTGAACAAACCTCAAATTCACTCAAAGGACCTTCTAAAAATGTGGACAATTCTGGAGTTAACTTAGGAATATCTGGATAGTTTAATAATGTGTCTATATCTACCTCTTCAGTGTCTTTCGCCTTATATAGGTTTGAATAAAATTTAAAGATTTCGTTAGATATACCATCTTGTCCACTATTAACATCTCCATTTTCTGTTGACAATTGCCGTATTTCTTTATTTACTTTATTCTGTTTTTCCAAGTTTAAAAAATATTTTGATGACCTTTCTCCCAGCTCCATCCATTTGATTCTAGATCTCATGATAATTCCATCATTTACTTTTAAGCGATTGGTTTCAAGTTGTGACTTTTTGTCACTTAATTCTTTTAGTAATGCGGTCTTATCATTCGATGTCACTAGTCTTTGTTCCAGTACTTCGATATTTCTTTCCAGTTCCTTTTCCCAATTGATGTTTTGTTTCTTAATGAACGAGCCTTAGGATACAGATTCAACCCGCAATAGCATTATCAAAGTTTCAAAAAATAATTGGTCAATAATTAGACAATTCACAATTTCCAACTATGTTATCGTTTTCATCAAACTCTACCTCGTCTTTTGCATAAAATGTAATTGTCTCTTTTATAGTTTTTATAATTTTTGACAAAGTTGAATATTACCATTTAAGACAAAGGGTTTTGCATATCTCTAAAAAAAAACACAGTGTATGCAAAGTCATATGAACAGACACAGAATGCATTATCAAGGATTGTCATCGCTGTTATCATTTTGACCCTGGCTTTGCATACTAAATATTGCTTTCTCATCAAACTTTGCCCTTTATTATTTACTCGTCTGAAACGAGTAAAGTGAATATTATCATGCCTTTACTTATCGAAGGTATTGCCGAAGTGGTCAGACATAATGGCCCGCATTCGGGCCATAATGAGCAGTAAAAGACAACAATAGATTTCCCAGTGTCCCTCTTAAAAAAACATGAGACTTCGCACTACATAAAATGTGTATTTTTCCGTTTCTTTCTCCCCATCCCTACCCCATCCTCCTTCAGATCCTGAGGAGTATCGGCAACCCCTAACATGGCCTGATGGAGAGTACACCCTGCCTATGACTGTGACAGGATGCCCGGAGGGCGGTGTCTCCTGGGCTGAGGGAAGACGGCTTTTTGATACAGATGACAATAATCCAGAAAACTCTTGGGATCCAGAAGACATACATCTCAATTTACCAATCAAGGAATTGAGCCAGATGGAGATGAAGTTCTGCACAAAGAAAACGGCACAGTCGGCCGATTTTCGACGAGTCTGGCAGAGCGGAAGCTACTGTATCTACAAATACGGCCAAATCTGTCCAAAAGGTACGATGATTATCATCATCGAACAGTGACGTAGCATGGGTCCGGGCATAGGGTGAAAGGCAATGAAATAATAAACGATTGCATGGCTTAAATACAAGTTTCCCGTTCCTGCTCTTCCTTTTTGGACGTTGTTTGCAAAGGTTGAATACAATTCTCCCCCGCAATTCGAAACTCGGGTTTAGCTTAAAACACCAATGCCTTTACCATTTATACCACGGAGACGGGCCAGTGGCTATGGCGACACCAGATTAAATTAACCGACAAATTGAAGAAGAAAAAAAATCATCTTCGTTAATTAATTTCTTTGTCGGGGATCTTTAAACAATTACAAGTCACACGCCTCAGTGATACAATGCTTTGAGATACACGTATAACTTAGAATAGAAGTCTTTATGTCTGGATCTTTCCCCATCTAGGATTTGAGGAAGGGTCCATCTATTGGGATGACAATGATATTGATAACGGCAATGACTTCGACGGAACACTTCCAGAAGGAGTATACGACCGTAACACCAAGATTTACTTCTGCTGCCGTACGGATGACGAGCCAACGAAACCAATCATCCTCCCAGTCGACCACAACTTCGTGCTTTTGACTCCAACGGGAACTTGTCAAGAGGTATGCATGGGCGTTGACTTGGTGATGATGGGTGGTGTAGGGAAATGTATGCCTCCAAACCAGCTTCGGGGTTACTTGTTGTTCGAGGTGACGAAACAGGGACGGCTTAAATTTGTTGTTAACTCTGGGCTGAACAGACTCGACCCGGAGGCGTGGGTCTGGAAGAAATGTTCAGGGTGGTGGTCGTGAGGGGAAGGGCGGGCTCCAGGGAGCTATGACGGGCTTCCGTTGCAAGCAGGGGGTGGGGGTAAGACCAGCAAACGCAACTTTTCATGGAACATAGCGACTAAACCGGGAAGATCAAGATTTGCATTCTACCAACGCACTTTGACAAATTACTCTCTTTTTGCGAGGATGCCGAGCGACCTAACAAGAAAGTTTATATAAGTCAGTGTAAAACCTCGAAGGAAATGATAAGAATAATAATGATAACAATGGTGGCTTCTTATATAGCGCACATGTCTGTCACGTTATATTAATCAAATTTGATTTTGTAATTTTAATGATCTCATTTTTAATTTTAGGTCCTCGAGATGAATGTAGCCAAGGAAATGTTTCACTGGGATACTGAAGGCGATAGCGAGGTCAGTGGCGAGCATCCTTACCCAGGCCTCAAAAACGCTGGAAGTCTGAAAGATGTAAAGATCATCTTCTGCTACTACCAACATGATGAACCTACTACCAATCCGGACAGAAAACGCAGAAGTGGAAATGAGAACGACGATGAGCAGTGTCAGTACTTTCAGGAAATAGCCCAACAGCAAGACACAAATCCTCCGGATCCAACTTCTTCAAACAGTGAATCTTACCGTCACGGTGTCAATCTCTTGTTTTGTGCATCTTTGACATTTTTTGCTTGGGCAGTGAACTATGTCATGTGATAAGTGGTTTGTAGGCAAGGCATAAGAAATGTTAGTTTGTTGTTGTTTTTTTCATTTTATTTTTCTTTTTATTTATTTTTTTAAAATATGTTTTATTTGTTTTGGGGGGAGGGGGTTACTTAGGGATTCCAATTTCTGCTTCTGAGCAGGATTTGTCTTACGGTATGCATATAGCTCCGTTTAGTCTCATTTCACAACGCCCCCTATCGTCAGAGTCAGCAGCCATACATGTTAGCCTATGGAATTGTACAAAAAAAAATTGCTAAAAATTCATTTTTTGTTTAAACAAAAAGTACATCCACCCCGACTTACGTTATTACTACCTCTTTTATTGGAACCCTCATGTCCCATTGACTTTTGAAAGTTCACCCACCGTAATTTGATCAAAATAGGTTGCAAGCTCGTCATTGCCTATAGTACACATGTGAAACAAGTCGAACTTTTGACTCAGTTTGCCAAGCGATTTTAAGAGTATAGGTCAAGCACACGAAGGATAAGAAGCATGAATTATCACGGATCACTTCTCCTTGGTTCATTTAGTCCATTTCATCCAACCCCCTACCGTCATTTTTCCATTTAGTAAAAGCAAACATTTTGCCGAGTTTAACAAAAACATGAATATTCATAAACGGTCAGACAATACAGCCTTTTAGTACGTAACGTATAATGAATGGGAATGGGCGATGATCCGTCCAGGAGGTAGAGGTCAGTAGTTTGTGCTGGCAATGTTCACGCGAGCGAAAATGAGACAATCGGAGTAATATGTACAGATTATCTTAGAACAATAGCAACAAAGGAAATCTAATACATATTGTTCCATTTATGTCAATCATTATAAAGAATAAGAACGATAGATTTGTCATTTCCAGAGGCGGCAGGACTGGGCGCACAGTGCCCCTCTACTTTTTTTTCGAGTACCCCAAAAATTGCCCCTGTTTACTTCATGAAACTGCAATGTTTATTTGTTATAAGTGCCTCTTTTCCTTTCTAATATTTAAGTGCCCTATTTTCCTTCTTATAAGCGCCCCTATTCAAATCTGATGAGTGCCCCTTTCGTTTATACTTTTCCCCCAGTCCACCAGTCCCTCTTTCTGCCTCTGTTAAATGCCCTGATAATCACATTTTCCCTTTCTGGTGAGTGTCGTAATGCCCCTGCAGAAAGGCTCACATTTTCGCCTCTGATAAATGCCCCCTTTTTTCCCACAGATAAATGGCCTCTTTTTACGACCGATAAATGCCTTCTTTTACCTCAGATAGGTGCCCCTTTTGCCTCATTTTGACCTTTTCCCCTGTTAATGCTCCTTATCCCCTCTGAAAGTTTGCTATTCAAATCTGAGAAGTGCCCCTTTTTACTTCGGATAATTGCACTTTTGCTCTTTGTTTCCTTCTTTCAAAAAAGATGTTACTTCGAAATTAATTTGTGTTTCCTTTCAAATGTGTAAACTGCCTCTTTTTAAATAATTTGTGACATTCCAAGCAACTGTAAAGCACATTTAACCAAATTTGATCATGCCTTTCCCGCGTTTCGGTTACATTATGACTTTGGAAGTGTCTCCTTTTCTCCTAAAAATACAATTTTTGCTGGTGGTCCATCCCCCCCCCCACCTTCAAAGATACTCCTCCGCTCCTGGTGATGACTCACCAGCTTTCTCCACATTTTTCAAACAATCTAATTTGTTTTCATCTTGGGGGGGGGGGTATTCTAAAATGCTTTAGGTCATTACTTTTCCATGTAACATGGAATCAAAGTTGATTATAAATTATTAGTTGATGCTGTGTATAATATTCAAAACGTATTTGTTGACAAATGTGAAATTCATGAAAATAAGAACATGTTGAAACTTTTGAGAAGGGAATATTGTTATTTGACAATGACATGCTCCTGTGATCATATTTGTCACATTGTTTGAATTGTCTTATGAAAGTAATTTATGAACTTAAAAAGAAAAATTCCAGGGTTGCACGATGTATTTAACGGCCCCATCGGATGATTCTTTCCTGGTAAATAATTTAATTTCCGCTGTCAAACATCTTTATCTTTTCCTTAACAAATTGATGTAGCACATAAACCGAACTGGTATTATAACCCCACTTTGGTTCAGACGTTGAAAGGAAGCCACAGGAACAAAAAATTCGGCCCTCGCTTAATATCACATATTGACCTACTATCGCATATTATTATTAAATACATTATGTTTCCATTAAGGAATAAATAAGACATTTCTTCAAAAAGGTACACTAATTGTTCAGTATGATATGTATGTATTTATGTGCTTACATTGGATTGGGGTTTGAAAGCAAGAAACATTTTTAGGAAATGCTTGCGAGGGAGCAAATCGACCGACTTTGATAAAAAGCTATATGCATTATAACCAATGCATCCGTGGTATATTACAAGTGATATATTGGAGACCCAAAATTAAAGGAACCTTACAAAATACACAGGTACAATTGCAGTACGAGAGAGGGTTTTCTTTAAACCTGAGTCCAGTACCCTCCCCTAACCAAGTCAGGTTTTGTTGGAAATTAACATTCTGTTTTTCTGTTTGATAGCAAGTATCACTTTGAGCAAGTATTGCTATGTTGATTACAATGACATGGTTCCGTTGTGAACCTCAATTTCCTTTTTAACGATATATGTGTATACTTGCATATACTACATGTACATGGCTATGAAATATATATACATATATACATTTTTTTTTAACGAGTTGTTTACATTTTTATTTCCCTGAGGTAATCATGTATAACATGAGTTTTATGTATACGATTCTCATTAACATTATATGATAAGGAGTCATGTTGAATTAATTATTTCCAAACTTTGCATTGCATTTCAATAAAAGATTTATCTATTATTCATGGTATCATAGCAGGAATTGTCCTCGGATAGTTTAAATGGGAGGTGTACTGTATACAAACTAAATGATCCTTTTATAATTAACCAGTGCCCTGTTTCTTGAAACTTGTTATCAATAATAACTTCTGGAATAGTGGCATTTGATTGGCTGAGAGCAGATTTGTCATGGAAAATTTGGCTTTGAAATATTCCGTTCAAAAAAATGTTGTGATAAGTTTACTGATGTTGTACATACAACTGTGATATTTCTGTCTTTACTTTATCGTTTAATCACCACTTAATCATTATCAATAAGTCTTCTTTTTTTTTTAAACTTAGTCATTACTTCTTCTTTTTTTTACTCAGTCTTTCTATCTTTACATTTTTATAATAATTCAAAAGGTTATTAGGGGTTTTTGATTAAAAAATGTACTCATTACTTAGTACATGATTGTTATGAGTTTATCATCATATATATTATAAAGTATGTAAAAAGCAATTTCAGATTCATGAATAATATGAGAATGTTCTTTAATATATTAGAGGATTGAATGTTGAAAAAATGCCTTTAATTGCATTAATCTCAGGAAATGATTTCATTATTAAAAATTGTCATAAAAGTACCGGAGTGTTGGCTCAGTCAGTAAAGCGTCCGCCACACAACCGGGAGGTCGTGGGTTCGAACCCCGGCCGCGTCATACCAAAAGACGTTAAAAGATGGGAGTTGTTGCTACCTTGTTTGGCGTTCAACAATAAGGGATAGAGCAACGTCGATCTGGCGCTGCTCAGTGGCTGTCGGGCTCACGATCAATTGGGCAAAAAGAATTTCCGTTTCGGTTTAATAAAATTTGGAGTGGACTATTAGGCTATTATTATTATTATTATATCGGTATTTTAAGCAAAATTTCGTAGTAGATTGTTGTGGGTTATCATTAGCCCTGACAAAAAATGTCGTATTGCCCTTAAGGTGCCAAAACATGGGTCGGTCGGTCGGAAATCTCCTTTTTTTTCCTCTTTGTTTGGGCTGATATTTCTCAGATTTTTGCTTGATAACATATTTTTTTATTCATTAAAAAAAAAATGTTAAAATGAGTCCGACCGTAGATTTCAAGATGTGTGGATCGGTCGCAGAGGGCAATACAACATCTTTTGTTTACGCCTTATAAAGTGTTACCGTTAGGTGTGTTAGTTATAGTACGTGATTGTTGTGAGTTTATCTTGATATAAAGAATATGCTCCTTTATACTTAATTTGAAGGTTATTGCGGGTTCATACTTAAAAATATTATCGTTACTTAATTAAGTGCGTCACTTAGTAGATGGTTGTGAGTTTTTTCATCATAAGCAATGCATGATATATATTATCGGTATACTTAAGGATTTTTCTTAGACGGTTTTTGCGAGTTATTATTATACATAATTATTATCGTTACTTTAGTATGCAAGTTTCCTTGGTGGTTTATGCGGTTTTATTATCATAAAGTGTCGTTACTTATATAATTACGTCACTTACTAGATGATTTTTGTGAGGTTATCATCTTTAGATATTACCATTAATGCTTAAGGTATTTGAATGGTGCGGGTTTGTCAGTACCGCACTTTATATTCAAGCGTGTCGTTGGAAGGTTTACTTTATCATCGAAATAAGGTTACTTGAGGGGGTTGCTTGTCAGAGTTCGAGGTGAGAGGGGTTTTGACTTAGGTTTTTGGTCCAAAATGTTAGCTATTAACCTTCATGATCATTATAATCCCCTCGCCGACGAACTCAGAGGGGAAAGAATAACACCGCCATCCTTCCTTCCGTCAGTAACAAATCTGGTTTCCGTTCGAAAACTTTAGTAATAATTGACGGAGTTTAACAAAATTTTGTATGAATGTACATGGCATCAACAAAAAGCTCATTAAATATGCGAAAAGGGCTCATTATTCGAAAATTTGGTCTTATTACGTTCGATAACTTGAGTAATGTTTAATGGATTTTAATGAAATTTGATATCAAAACACAGCCTAAGTTCGATTTCAGAGTATGTAGGTCGAAGTTTAAATGTCATAGCTCATTAAATATGCAAACATAGCTCAAGTAACCGAGAATGTGGGTTCCGTTTGATGCTAAATAACATAATTATAGAAAATGATTGTTTTGCGATTCGTCAAACATTCTAATAGGATATGTTCTGTTAGCCTTTCACATCTTTATGAATCAGGGAAGCGGGAGGGGTGGCTGGGGTATAAATGCTCATATTTGAGCAATTGTACTTCTCCTCATATTCGGGCGCATCTCGTTGCCTGAATATCGTCACATTTAGCCGGCAAGTTGTCCGGTTCTAGATCTTATCGAATGTAGTTTGATGATGAAACAACACCCTTTTTACCATAATGGGGTGTATTTTTTATCCTCGATCTTTTTTTCTTTTTTTTTCTATCACTACCTTCTCGCCCGGAAAATTTGGCAAATAGAATCCCCTAGCGAAATTGCATCCGTTTGCCTACACACGATCACAAGCCTTTGTTTTTATCGAAAGAAAAACAAACACGTAGTATTCGCCATTGTAAATGGATGAATAAAGATTATCAATAAA